TTACATAGGTTATCGTTTCATAGTAATCTGTCCGTTATACTGAAAAAAGACACATTATAGTTATCTGCACAGTCATGCTGACCACATCCCTAGCTGTGTACCAACTATACACTGAATATATATCAGAACCCGCGGTATAGCCTTATAAGCGTAGCACGCACATGTATTAAACGTGTGCACACGTGTAGCTATACCACAATACACTCTCGGAGAATGCGACGCTGTTAAGGTACACGTTTACCGTATTTTGGGTACTTTAAGTCGTTTTAAAATGTTGCTTTTGTCAATCACAGAATGTTTATAATTGCTGACATACTTCTGCATTGGTTCAATTATTCGCATACAAAATTATATTCGCCTTGTATTACATTGGGAATAGTGTAAGTTGTGTAAACAAAATGAGGCTGTCTCCCCTTATACCGTATTCCCATTGTTGTATCATACTGATATTTTACCTTTTTATAACTTACATAACAAAATGATTTTAAAAAGGTAAATTTCAACGAAATTGAGATTTTATAGCTTTTTCTGTATATTTTTGTAAAACCAGAGTTGAATACAATAATACCTAAATCAAATAACTGTTTTCGGAATCATGTTAATTGAACTCGTACACAAGTTAACAAACAAGATTTAGGTTTTCCAACATATGGTTATTTGATCAGTACAGCAACGCGGTCAGTTTCTGATAATCCCTTTTATGACATCAATTAAGAAATTAGCCCGACCCTTACTCTAACGTCAGTTCTTTGTTAAAGAATTATCGTACGTGTTTGAGTCAATTAAGGCTCAGGTAATCTTGCATAACCGGCCTGTCAGATCGCTGTTTTTCTCCAATTTCTTTGTCCAAACCCACGCTAACATTTGACCAATCAGAGCTAAGGTCAGAGTGGAAATAAGTTTTTTTATGAGGCCGCTTAAGGGTAAATTACCCATTCTTTATTATAGTAGCGCCTTAAATAACCCTCCTGGTACCTCACCTTGATTCGGAGGGCACCTGAGTATGTAGTGTCGCGTGTCCAGCTGGTCACTTGAAGCTGCGACCCCAATAAAGAAAGACACATGAAACTTACCAGGCTGCCTCCATTATATTTTACAGGTGAGCAATTTTCTCTTTTTACATGTATTCTATTTTATATTTTATTTGTCTTTGTTGAAGATGTTCATAATCATTGTGTGAGATTTTCATTGTTGGTTGATATTTGATTTTGTATTTCTATTACATTTTATTTGCCTATTCTTGATTTATGCGAAACAAAGAATTCATATTTTTCCCTCTTATAATCTTTTCGACCTTCAGATTTTTAAAATCCATGTACGGTAGAGTTTTGTTAAATTTGATAACTAGAATTTGATTTAAGACATTCAGAAATAACGTTGTTTTGTGTGGAAAACTTTATATATTTCTATAGGAAAATTTCCTATGTTTGAGAAACAAAGTGTTAGAAAGGATAAGGCATAAATAAGTATCCAAACTAAAAGAGAGATCTTAACCTAAATTGGCATATTGCTATTTTGATGTGAATTTGTACATATCAAAGATTTTGGTATTGCTACCGCACTGATTGTGCAAAACTGTTCCAAATTTTGAAATAGAGTTATGTCCCTTTACAAACTCATAACATCCGTCTTGAATGATAAAAGAACACATGCTTGTGTAGTTTTACCTGAAAGATAATGATCTATCGTTGTACATATAGCAGTTTGACAATGCTCGATCAAGAGTATAAGTACCGATTATTTAGCTGAAATCTGTGCAGTTTAACATTACCAGTAAGAAATCATGTTTTTATGTATATTATCGTGTAATGCGATTAAGCAGAAAGTCCCCTGATGTTAATGTTAACATGATAGATTTTCTGAACCGTGCGTCTTATTTGTTATGTACTTTATACCGACTATTAACGTTTTGCATGAGAGACAAGATACGTTAGCTGAAATAATTGAACATCTGAGTAAGCGTAATTTGGCATCATTTCATCTTACATGATAAATAAGACATTGTAAATACACCCCCCCCCCCCCTCTTTTACGAACTTCATTCATTCATTTATTCCGTAAACCGGAAGTTCATTCCAAAACCGGAAGTTCATTCCAAAACCGGAAGTTAGTCATATAAACAGGAAGTAAATGTTCCTAATGTAAATAAACATTCCTGTCATGTGCCCTTCTTAATATTTACAATGTATAGACTCAAATAGTTTTGAATATTTCATTTCTTAAAGAGGTAATAATTCATTTGATATAAATAACTTCATTTTCTCATGAAGTATCATTATGTTGTAAATAATTACTTTATATTTTTACCATTCTGGAGTAACTAATGATTATGATGATTACCCTATAATATGTTCTGCGTGTATTATTTTACTACAATAAGTCCCGAGCTACTGCGCGAGTTATTCCTTTGTCATTTACCTCCACAGTCAAGTCAGAGTATAGCTCTAACTTAGTTAATTTTCCCCAAAATTAACGTTGCTAATTTTCCCCAATATTTACTTAGCTAATTTGCCCCATTTTACTCACACTTTATTTTTACATTTGGATCTTATTGTATTTGTAATTGAATCCAATTAGTGATTTAATTCACTACTGATATTGCATATCAGTAACAATAGTTGCATATGTACATATACAAGATCTTTCTTGTAATGTAATTAGATCCGAACAGTGGTTTAATTCGTGATTGATTTTTGTGTAATCAATAACAAGAATTTCTATGTATTCATTATCTGTATGTATTGACATGTTCACTTGAAGCTGCGACCCCAATAAAGAAAGACACATGAAACTTACCAGGCTGCCTCCATTATATTTTACAGTATCAAAAACAAAAACATCCACACAAAACTCGATGACAGATTGGTGGGAATCCCCAAGTTCCTAAATGACGGGAAAAGACAAAACTGTGACCGTACCAACCAACTACCAGCCGGGCAGAACTCGCGCAGCAGCAGCAAGAGAAGAGGTAACACAAAGACCACACCAAACCAGGGTCCAGCAAAAACCTCCACAAAAGGCTAAACAACAACAACAGGAAGGTGAACAGGTGCCTCCACCCCCTCAACAACAACAACAGGAAGGTGAACAGGTGCCTCCACCCCCTCAACAACAACAACAGGAAGGTGAACAGGTGCCTCCACCCCCTCAACAACAACAACAGGAAGGTGAACAGGTGCCTCCACCCCCTCAACAACAACAACAGGAAGGTGAACAGGTGCCTCCACCCCCTCAACAACAACAACAGGAAGGTGAACAGGTGCCTCCACTCCCTCAACAACAACAGGAAGGTGAACAGGTGCCTCCACCCCCTCAACAACAACAACAGGAAGGTGAACAGGAGCCTCCTCAGCAACAACAACAGCAACTGGAAGATACAGAAGATTTACCTCTACCTCCTCCTCCTCCTCCTGTTGAAGACCACCTACTAATTCCTCAAATGGCTACCGGAGGAATAAATCTAAAAAAATACAATGGAACTGACTCGCCAGTCATATGGCTCACCAACCTTGAGTCATGGCAAAAGTTTCATAATGTGCCAAATGAACGAACCTTGGCTGCCATGTCATTCAACATGGAGGGACCAGCAGCACTGTGGTTGCAAGGCCTCCCAGATACTGAGAGGACAGATTTTGTAAAGTTCAAGGAATCCTTCCTACACAGATTTGGTCAAAAGACCACAGACAATAAGTTCTTCTCCTTGAAGCAAAGTTCTGAAGAACCCGCGGAAAAGTACCTGGAACGAGCGGAGAAGCTGGCCCTTGGACATACCATTGTAGAAAGCTACAAGGTTCAAGTAGCCATGAATGGACTGCAACCCAAATTGAAATCAAAAGTATTGGGCAAAGAGCCAAAAACATTCCTTGACCTTCGGCATGCAGTCGATTTGGCAAAAGAGGAAATAGCATGCACAACGGACACGGACAGCGTTAACATGCTGTCCATGACAAAACTGTGTGATGAGCTTGTCAACAAACTACAGACTCAACTTGTAAATCAAATTCAGGAAGTAAGAGAGGAAGTGTCTGTGATAGCATCTAAACAACATCACAACAAAACAAACTATAAGCAACCTTCATCTCAGCATCAGCTCCAGCAACCTCCAACCCAGCCTTACGTTCAACAACACCAGCAGCCGTTTTCTCCACATCAGGCGTACCAAGTTCAACAGCCATTCTCTCAACAACAAGCGTACCAATATCAGCAGCCCTTCCCTCCACAACAAGCGTTCCAACCTCAACAGCCCTCTCCTCCACAATGGTATCAACCCCAGCAGCAGCAACAGTCCTTCCAGCCTCAACTGCCTCCTCAACCTCAGAACAGAAGACCGTGCCAGGGATGTGGTAAGTCATGCCTTGGGCGATTTTTATGTCCTGCTTATAATACACAGTGTTCATTTTGTAAGATTTGGCATCATACCGCTGATGTGTGCCGCCGGAAGAAATTCAACCAACCACCCTCTACTAACATGTCAATACACAATTCCACTTCCCCAGCACAAAACTTTAATAGGCAATAGGGATGCGCGCCTATCCCTGGAAGCAAGGATAGGCACACCAAGACCAACATGAGTCAACCCATCACAGGATACAAGATCAAACCCAATTCTCTAGAAAGCAAAACAACCATCAACATACCCATAACAAACCCTTCACCAGAACCAGTAGAGATTGTCAATCTTGTAACACCTGTTGATAGAAATACTGTTAGTGTAGAGTTGTATGATTCACTAGTAAAAGCGCTGGTGGATACAGGAGCTACAATTTCCTGTGTCACATTATCTTTATTAAATAAACTAAAGGTAGACACAAGTACACAGATACAACAGTGTTCAGCTGTGACCGCAGTGGTTGCAGGAGGCGAGTCACATAGAAGTCTCGGAAAAATAGCCATCCCTATTACAATTGGAGAATGCAGTTTCATGGCTGACCTCCATGTCTTTGAAACCTTCCATGTTCCTTTAATTCTTGGTTTAGATTTCTTAAACAAACATGAAGCTGTTATTGACATAAAAAGGAAAACTTTATTTTTGAAAAATCCCGAAACGAATCAAATTCTTTCTATTCACACTGAGGTGTCTTTGGCTCAAACCACATATCACTACAATCTTCCCCCAATGTCGATAAACAATATTACAGTTACGGTACAAGACCTACCACCAAACTCAAACATACTTTTTGAACCCGTTCACCAACTACCTTCAATAGGACTAGTAGGAGCTAAGTGTGTTTCAGTCATTCGGTCAAATCAGACTTGCGTTGTCCAGGTCATGAATCCCTCTGAAGAACAAGTCACACTTTCACCTGAAACTGTGATAGGTTTTGCATCCGTCATTGCTGAAAACTTTGTCATGTCCCTTGACACACCTGTAGATGCCACAAATTCCTCCCCATCTTCCTCGGCTACACAGACATCTGATCCTATTACCTTTGACTTAGGCAATTCTGATCTTTCTGAAAACCAAACACAAATTCTTCAGACCTTTCTTCAACAAAACAGAAATGTCTTTGCTACAGATCTGTCACAATTAGGCCATACATCTCAGCATACACATAGGATTGAAACAGGGGATGCCCTTCCCATAAGGCAACGCTTTTATCGTCAAAATCCTGAGGTCAAAGCTGAAACTGAAAGGCAGGTAAAAGAAATGTTAGAGAATGACATCATTACAGAATCCACATCTATGTGGCAGAGTCCAGTTGTCATGGTCAAAAAGAAAAATGGCCAGTTACGTTTCGCTGTAGATTACAGGAAACTAAATGCTGTCACCAGACAATATACCTTTCCTCTTCCCCGTCTTGAGGATGTTTTTGACTCTATTGGGGATTCAAAAGCGCAATACTTTTCTACACTTGACCTAGCCTCTGGGTTCTGGCAAATCCCCATGGACCCTGAAACTGCTCACAAATCAGCATTTGTGACCCCTGCCGGAGTCTATCAATGGAAAAGAATGCCATTCGGGCTTGTTAATGCCCCGGCTAGCTTCCAGTCTCTTATGTGCAAAGTTTTGAATGGTTTGAATTGGAAAACCTGTCTTGTGTATGTGGATGATATTTTAGTGTTCTCCCGTACATTTGAGACTCATTTGCAAAACTTACAAGAAATTTTTGATAGGCTTAGGCAGGCACAGCTAACACTCAAACCAAGCAAGTGTTCCTTTGCTCAAGGTAAGGTTCATTATCTAGGCCATGTGGTATCTAAAGACGGAGTCGAAGTTGACAAATCTAAGACAGATGCTGTTGCTGCCTACCCTGTCCCCACATCTGAAAAACAGGTCAGATCTTTCTTAGGTTTATGCAACTACTATAGGAAGTTTGTCAAAAACTATAGTAAAATTGCATCTCCATTAACCAGACTACTCCAGAAGGATGTTAAGTTTGAATGGTCAGAGTCTTGTCAAAAATCATTTGATCAGCTCAAGCAAGTTTTGACCTCTCCGCCAATACTGGCATACCCTGATCACACGAAACCCTTCATTCTGACGACGGATGCCTCCGGGAATGCCATTGGGTATGTATTAGGTCAGTTAGACATAAACAAACATGAGCGTGTTATTGCCTATGGTGGACGTTCTCTGAACCAGCATGAACGTAAGTACTCCATTTCAGAACGAGAAGGCCTTGCAATAGTTGAAGGTATAAAAACATATCATGTATACCTAGCTTCAAAACACTTCAAGGTATATACTGACCATAGTGCTCTTAAATGGATGAAGGATATAAAGCCAGAGTCAACAGGTAGGTTAGCTAGGTGGGCTGTACTCTTACAGGGTTATGACTTTGAAATCTTGTATAAAACAGGTAAGACAAATGAAGTGGCTGATGCCCTTTCTAGGCGACTATATCCCCCAGTCCAACCTCCTACTGCAGAAGAGGCACTAGAAGACATGGCTCCTCATCCGGAAGTGTCATCTGTTGGTCTACATGTAGAGTCCTCACTTCAACAGGTCACATTTCTATACAGTGATACAACCCAAGGTACCCCCAAAACTGCCATTTCAGACCCTTCCACTTCTGGATCAGTTGGTAAACTTCAGTCTGAATGTCCAGATTTTGTAGACATATACAAATACTTAGCTACAGAACATTTACCAACATCAAAGGCCCAAGCTAGCAAAATCCTTGCTCTTTCCAGTCAGTATGTATTACTTGATGACACTCTATACCACCTGTACACACCTGCACCTAAAAGAGATACTCAGCATACTCCTCTTCGTCAGCTTGCAGTCCCTAGATGTCTTAGGGAAGATGTTCTTAGGTCGTATCATGACTGTCAAGCAGGAGGAGCGCACTTAGGGATCGATAGGACATACAAGGCCATTCAACTAAAATACTATTGGCCTAAAATGTTTCAGAATACTGTTGACTACATCAGGTCATGTGACGCATGTCAACGGATAAAAAAGTCTGCAAACAAGAAGCAAGCACCCTTAACAAACATGCCTATCTGTGAGACATTTTCACGACTTCACATGGACATTTTAGGACCCATTACAACGACAAAAGAAGGATACAAGTACATTCTTCTTGTTGTGGACTCCTTTAGCAAATGGCCAGAAGCATTTCCTCTCAGAACACAAGATTCTAAGGAAATCGCCCGAGTCCTGTACTCTGAAATATTTTCCAGGTATGGTGCTCCAAGCACTATTGTCAGTGATAGAGGGCAAAATTTTATGAGTAAACTTGTAACGGCTGTGTGTGAAATCTTCCAAGTGACTAGACACTTTACAAGTTCATATCATCCCCAAACCAACTCTACATGTGAACGCATGAACAGTACAATTGCCCAGTGCTTGAGAGCATATGTTGATAAAAATCAACAAGACTGGCCTCAGTTTCTTTCAGGTATTCTAATGGCTTTTAGAATGTCACCATCAACTCAAGCATCTAATATGTCACCATACCAGATGTTGTTTGGTAAGGAAATGAATTTACCTTTTGATACTGCCTTAATCCCAAAAGATGGTCTTGGAAAAGATGCGAAAACACATGTCACCCAGCTCATAGATCACCTCAAGTATGTTAGACAAACAGCTAATAAGAACATAACAGAGGCCAGAACCAAACAAAAAAAGCAATACGACAAAAAGGCTTCAGAACCTGAATTCCAAGTCAATGACTTGGTTATGCTCCATTCCCCTAAAGTACCCAAAGGTCTGTCACCAAAGCTACACCATCCATGGGATGGACCATACTACATTGTCGACAAAGGTCCCAATCACACGTATAAGCTCCGACGCTGCAATACGCACAAACAAGTCAAATCTCTCATTCATGCCAATCGATTGAAACTGTATACAAACCCAGACAACAGACCTAGTTTGAATCCCCCACCATGTCCGCCATATGTTCCTCATGTCCCAGAAAATCAGCGAGTACCAGATCCCTCAAACCCAACAAACCAACTTGTCGATAACCCGGACCAATTCCCCCAACCAACCCAGTCTTCTCAGATCTCATCCTCATCCTCATCCACCCCAACACCTACGGATAGTTCAGCCCAACCAAACCCTCCTAACCCCAAAACAAACCAACCCAACCCAACCATACCAGCTGATCAGTCAACACAACCCATACCAGTCCAACAACCCATTTCAAACCCAACCAACCCAACCAACCCAAATGCTTCTCAGGATGACCAGCAATCTTACCCGATTGAAAAACTTATAAAGTACAAGTTTCGAAACGGTGTCAAGGAATTTCGCGTGAAATGGCTTGGTCATTCAGTTCGAACCTGGGAACCTGTAGAAAACCTACCCCCTGCCATGGTTCGTGAATTTCATATCACTAAAACGCAATCAGGGAAAGCTCGTAAAAAGGGTAAACAGTCAAAACTGACTTGTTTTTCACGGCAATAAATCATACACAAAATAGGTTAGTCCATAGATATCTTTTACCGGTATTCCTTTCCTTTATTTTCCATCTAATTCTTCTCCTTAAGCATACTTAATGCTAAGATTTAAATAGATACAAAGTCTGTTTATTTAGTGCTTTGAGATGATTGCAACATCTCATAACGGCATACAAGATGCTAATCTTATCCTTTCTGTCTACTTCTCCTTAGGTATCTTTGGACTTCCTCCTCTGTTGAGCCTACTTGCGGTGATGACCCTTGTGATTCTCCCATTTGCGGCCGGTGATAATGCACCATCACCATCATTAGTTCAGAGACTGAACTATGGAATTCTCTTTACCCCCACAGCTAAACTTCATCTTGGTCAAGAATACTGGTCACACACTTTTGAAGTCCCACTCCCGTCTAGAGTATACCTTCATGGGGATCTTCAGTGTAGCAGTCAACAATGTGAACCTGCAAATGTGGTCTTGAAAACTCTTAACGCCTTGAGAATGCAATGTATGGCTAGTATCAACTCCACAGTCACAAAACTTCATCAGCTTATCCCTCATTCTTACTTCCCAAAAACCATAACATTTGGCTCCAGGAGATCAAAAAGAGGTTTGTTTGACTTTATTGGTGAGATATCGAAATCATTGTTCGGAACAGCAACAGCAAGTGATATGAACAACTTAAAACACCACATGCAAACATTGAACAATAACAATATTAAACTTGCTAGAGCCATGGCTCATGAAGCTCATCAATTAACCTCATTTGTATCTACAGTCAATGAACGATTTGATAATGTTCTCAAAGCAGTGCTTGTCAATCATGATGAGTCTGTAACATTAGCACAGCAATTCTCTAGCGCTTTAGACGGAATGCAACATGAGTACATATTGCTTGAAAATAGGATGTTAAAACAAATTAATGCTAGTGCAGTTTTAGAAAAACACTTAGAGCACGTACAGCTAGCAATTCATGATTTTGTTAAAGGCAAGTTATCTCCCTTTATTTTGTCCCCCCAGACAATCAAATCTACTCTTAAACAGGTTCAGAACATTATATCTACCAAATATCCTGGGACAAATATTATTCATTTTGACCCTTTACACTACTATTCATTTGCTGACTTTTTGTATGCAAGGCACCATTCCAATTTGTACATCCTACTGAAAATACCTATATCATCTTTTGTTCACCCTTTATCCTTGTATAAGGTGTACTCCTACCCAGTGCCAATCAATACCACATCAACACATGCCACACAGCTACTAGACACTCCGGATTATTTTTTACATACTAGTGATAATCAACATTTCTCAGTTTTGTCACACACCCAACTTAGTCAGTGTACAGGACAGGATATTATGTATTGTCCATTTCATGTAGCATTACGTTCTGTGGCATCTGGTTCATGTTATTCATCAATCTTTTACAATCAAAAGTCTCAGGTCAAATCCTTTTGTAATTTCCGTTTTGTCCCAAACACGCTCAAAACTAGCATTATTGAACTTTCACCCTCAAATTTGATTATGTATCACACCAAAATGTTAGCGTTAGACTGCCCGTCTGGACAGAAAATGATGAAGGGTTGTCATTTCTGTGTAATGCAAGTACCCGCGAGATGTTCAGTGACTTCAGGTAATTTGTATCTACCACCCAGACTAGGTCAAGGTCAAAATGACACTAAAGATGTTACGGTGCTACATCCTGTTAACTTAGCATTAATTCAACATTTTTTCGAGCCTGAAAACCATGCCTCCATATTTGGTGACACTAATTATGGAAATTTTGTACACATAAAAATTCCAAATATTGAAATTTACAATCACTCATTTTCTCAAACTTTGGCCAACGATAACCAGTATCATCTCAGTCTTGATCGTATTGTTAAGAAAACAAAACAAAATGAGAAAGTATTTCAAACACTGTCAGAATCCATGTTAGATGGTCAGTTAGAATTTGCCTTCAGCAGCTGGCCTGACACTAGTGGAATTATTGCGTTGGCGGCCATAGCTTCAGCCTGGGTAGCAATTGGGTTATTTATTTGGATATTACGAAAATTTCGTCGACTCTCAGCAGCTGTATTGTTAGCACAGACATCTTCTGCACTAACTATCCCACCTGATGTACCCAGTTTCCATTACAGTGCTCTCCCTGACTTGGCCACCCCGCCTTCCATTACTGACCACTTCTATAACACCTTACAGACTCCCTGGCCTTATGTAACCTTATCCTTGCTTACCACAGCCTTCATCCTCTTCTCCGCTTACATCTTCTGGAGAAAATTCCAATCTGCTCACAAAACCTCTGTCTTCCTTGAACTAACCACTGGCCATGATTGTATGCTTGTACAGGTGGCTTCCCTCCCCTTATGTCCCAATAACTGGACAATCTTTCCACCCACTAATGTTACTGGTGTTACACTTAGAGGAAGAGTCTTAAAGTCTCTTCATATTGAGTGGGATCAGTTTTCCATCATCAATAACCATACTAAACAAACTATCTACCCTAAAAGCACCATTAACATTTCCCCCTTCCACAGTCGGCGCATCACAAAATTACTGAGGCACCCATATGCTGCCTATTTCATATTAACCCATCAAGGGTACTTCCAGGTTTTGAAGTAACAAAAAAATTGATAATGTGTGGACATAAAATTCATTCTGGCATGACTTATTTGCTCTGATTGTTGTAAATATTGTTTCTCTTTTCCATTCACCCATATTGTGATTTTTTTTTATTGTAGTGTCACCCATATGGACATTAATGTTTCCTATGTAAAACGCTGGGTGCTCAAACAGTTTTTTTTTTTTATTTTTGCAATCTGTTTTTTTTTTCGTTTATTAGAAATGTCTTCATTGTCATCAACTACCCGCTGGAGTTGTTTCAAATGAGTAAAAATGTTTGTGTATATAAAGAATTTCATATGCATTGTCAATTGATGAATCATTGTCAATTACTGTTCATGTATCTTTTTATGACAATTTTTGTATCAGTTATCTCCCTTTACAAAAAAAAATACAGCTTATACCACTACTTTTAATCTTTGAGGACAAAGATTTTTCCCAACCAGGAGGGATATATCATACTGATATTTTACCTTTTTATAACTTACATAACAAAATGATTTTAAAAAGGTAAATTTCAACGAAATTGAGATTTTATAGCTTTTTCTGTATATTTTTGTAAAACCAGAGTTGAATACAATAATACCTAAATCAAATAACTGTTTTCGGAATCATGTTAATTGAACTCGTACACAAGTTAACAAACAAGATTTAGGTTTTCCAACATATGGTTATTTGATCAGTACAGCAACGCGGTCAGTTTCTGATAATCCCTTTTATGACATCAATTAAGAAATTAGCCCGACCCTTACTCTAACGTCAGTTCTTTGTTAAAGAATTATCGTACGTGTTTGAGTCAATTAAGGCTCAGGTAATCTTGCATAACCGGCCTGTCAGATCGCTGTTTTTCTCCAATTTCTTTGTCCAAACCCACGCTAACATTTGACCAATCAGAGCTAAGGTCAGAGTGGAAATAAGTTTTTTATGAGGCCGCTTAAGGGTAAATTACCCATTCTTTATTATAGTAGCGCCTTAAATAACCCTCCTGGTACCTCACCTTGATTCGGAGGGCACCTGAGTATGTAGTGTCGCGTGTCCAGCTGGTCACTTGAAGCTGCGACCCCAATAAAGAAAGACACATGAAACTTACCAGGCTGCCTCCATTATATTTTACAGGTGAGCAATTTTCTCTTTTTACATGTATTCTATTTTATATTTTATTTGTCTTTGTTGAAGATGTTCATAATCATTGTGTGAGATTTTCATTGTTGGTTGATATTTGATTTTGTATTTCTATTACATTTTATTTGCCTATTCTTGATTTATGCGAAACAAAGAATTCATATTTTTCCCTCTTATAATCTTTTCGACCTTCAGATTTTTAAAATCCATGTACGGTAGAGTTTTGTTAAATTTGATAACTAGAATTTGATTTAAGACATTCAGAAATAACGTTGTTTTGTGTGGAAAACTTTATATATTTCTATAGGAAAATTTCCTATGTTTGAGAAACAAAGTGTTAGAAAGGATAAGGCATAAATAAGTATCCAAACTAAAAGAGAGATCTTAACCTAAATTGGCATATTGCTATTTTGATGTGAATTTGTACATATCAAAGATTTTGGTATTGCTACCGCACTGATTGTGCAAAACTGTTCCAAATTTTGAAATAGAGTTATGTCCCTTTACAAACTCATAACATCCGTCTTGAATGATAAAAGAACACATGCTTGTGTAGTTTTACCTGAAAGATAATGATCTATCGTTGTACATATAGCAGTTTGACAATGCTCGATCAAGAGTATAAGTACCGATTATTTAGCTGAAATCTGTGCAGTTTAACATTACCAGTAAGAAATCATGTTTTTATGTATATTATCGTGTAATGCGATTAAGCAGAAAGTCCCCTGATGTTAATGTTAACATGATAGATTTTCTGAACCGTGCGTCTTATTTGTTATGTACTTTATACCGACTATTAACGTTTTGCATGAGAGACAAGATACGTTAGCTGAAATAATTGAACATCTGAGTAAGCGTAATTTGGCATCATTTCATCTTACATGATAAATAAGACATTGTAAATACACCCCCCCCCTCTTTTACGAACTTCATTCATTCATTTATTCCGTAAACCGGAAGTTCATTCCAAAACCGGAAGTTCATTCCAAAACCGGAAGTTAGTCATATAAACAGGAAGTAAATGTTCCTAATGTAAATAAACATTCCTGTCATGTGCCCTTCTTAATATTTACAATGTATAGACTCAAATAGTTTTGAATATTTCATTTCTTAAAGAGGTAATAATTCATTTGATATAAATAACTTCATTTTCTCATGAAGTATCATTATGTTGTAAATAATTACTTTATATTTTTACCATTCTGGAGTAACTAATGATTATGATGATTACCCTATAATATGTTCTGCGTGTATTATTTTACTACAATAAGTCCCGAGCTACTGCGCGAGTTATTCCTTTGTCATTTACCTCCACAGTCAAGTCAGAGTATAGCTCTAACTTAGTTAATTTTCCCAAAATTAACGTTGCTAATTTTCCCCAATATTTACTTAGCTAATTTCCCCATTTTACTCACACTTTATTTTTACATTTGGATCTTATTGTATTTGTAATTGAATCCAATTAGTGATTTAATTCACTACTGATATTGCATATCAGTAACAATAGTTGCATATGTACATATACAAGATCTTTCTTGTAATGTAATTAGATCCGAACAGTGGTTTAATTCGTGATTGATTTTTGTGTAATCAATAACAAGAATTTCTATGTATTCATTATCTGTATGTATTGACATGTTGACTTGAAGCTGCGACCCCAATAAAGAAAGACACATGAAACTTACCAGGCTGCCTCCATTATATTTTACAGTATCAAAAACAAAAACATCCACACAAAACTCGATGACAGAGGGATGAGGGATGTAAAGAGAGGTGTATAATTTGTTTTAAGTTTTTACTTTTTGCCTAAAGTGTTGCCATACTCACAAGAGGCGACTGGCAACAAATATACAGATACAATATTTTTTTAAACATCTATAGATATCTGTGTAGCAGTTCTGTCTGTAATATACTGATACAAGATTTTCATGTTTATACACCACCTTAATGTTCTGTCTGTAATATACTGATGCAAGTCTTTCATGTTTATATACCACCTTAATGTTCTGTCTGTAATATACTGATACAAGATTTTCATGTTTATATACCACCTTAATGTTCTGTCTGTAATATACTGATACAAGATTTTCATGTTTATATACCACCTTAATGTTCAGTCTGTAATATACTGTCTTTCATGTTAAGAATTTATACTTAGTTAATGTATTTTATTTTTACGTTTGGCTGTTTATAAGGTACATATTTATATAAATACTACTGATAAATATCACCTTAAACATGTACGTAGGTTTTTACTCCAGAAAGGGTTGTTTACAAGAAACACGACTTTCAGTTCCATGGTAAAATTTTACTTCCATTTTCATGGAAGTCCGCGAATAATGCAAAGCTGGATATTTCAAGAGGATTCGCGTCATCGACAGTGACCGCTAGGTTGCCACCACATTTTCAGCCCGCGTAGTAAGTAACTTGTTACAGGTTAAATTGTCTGAACGTTTTACAACTCATTTTGTCTGTTAGTGACATGAACGACATTTTCTTCAGTTTATTTTTATGATCATATGTTTTTACAATTAAAAGTAAAAAAGGCTATATCTTGTCGAGTACTGCAAACAGTAATGAGTGTAATGAGTGAGTAGTCCGCGAAAAGCATAGCCAGCTTTGTCTCTTTCTATCTGTGCTAAATATGCCAGTAATTTCCGTACTTTCTGTAAAATGTAATAAATATAACATCTAATTGTGTTTTCGGTAACAACAAATATATTTTACATCACGTCTGACATTTTGGTATCATTAACGATTGCGCAGTACAGGTGAAATTTACAAAAATATTAGACACACGAGTACACTATTAACTATCCTCTGCTACAGTATGTTTATTTTTATATGCTTTATCGATTCAAACAGTTATGTAAACACGCTATCACTCCTGCTTTGTCACGTGGATATCAAGATTAACAAGGAAGACATTACGAAATCAAGGGTATGTAAAACTATTCTGTCGTATTGTGAAACATGATATCAAACCACAAACAGTAACAATTTAAAGTGTCATTCACATTGATGATTGATATAGAGTTTGGATTTGGATTATGTTGACATGTTCGTATTTTCTTTGATGAACGAGACCAAATAAACGGATGTAAACAAACATGCTTCCTGAATGGGGCGTTTTATATATCACGCTAAACATTTTATGTGCAGTTATGGAAACGTTATAACCGTCCTGGAGATATCTTTTTGTTACATGAGATTAGTATTTCGGCATTAACGAGGAAGTGTTAAATAATAAAACCACATATTGCACGTAAACACTTGTGATAAAAAGACGAGCTGAAAATCCTACTACTGATGAAGAATTAAACACAAGATCACTAGGTCTAGGCGTTTGGTATCTTCAGAGTATTGATTAGATGTCAAAACAAGCACTGTGACCGTGCCGTGATATGGTTGAGGAGATCAATTAGTAAAAAAACCAGTTTTAGATAAAATTTAGCGAACGGAGCTGATGACAAGAGTGCTGGTTTCCTTATTGTAAATTTTCCATTCCTATATAGTAACAATCTTATTTTCCCTTTCCTTGGTGTTAAAACACGCCATTTTTCGTATTCTTAATATCAATATAATATTACTATCTAACGAATTTATCGCAGCGATGACCCTTGTCATGGCGTAATGCCTCCAGACTAGTAGTTTTGTAATGACTCCAATCAGTTTTCCTTGCATCCAGATAAAAATGGGATAAACTCTCATCTAATTGTTGTGGACTGAATGATTCAAACTCTATGTTTTGTTTCCTTTCCAATAAATAATCTCTGAAGCACTTAGCTGCCATGTGGTTAGCCTTCAAGGTCTTTGGTTATTGACTACTGAGTCCAAAGCGGTCCAATATGTAAACATTCCGCGTGGCCGAGACGCTTGAAAGGCCATCCAAAACTAGCTCAAAACTGCACTCAAAATTTCTACGATGTAAGGGGAATAACTCTTATTATTGTCTTTTTTTTTCGAAAGACGTGGTCGGCGCCATTAAATCAAAGTGACCCCCTATAAAACCCGTGGCGCCATCTAACGGGACAAATTGACCACTATAGAATTATAGTGCGTCACCCTGTGACGTCTCTCGACCAATGATTTTAGGACATTCTAGTCCGAGTTGCGATAAAATATCATAGTGAACGTTAAATGATCTCGAAATATGCTCTTGAGTATGCATAGTGGATTGTTGTTCTTTTTTGACATTCCTAACTTGGGTCACATGGCAAATGGCATGGATGAAGCAGAAGTAAATCTCTGCGGGACCCTTGAATTATTATCTTTGCTAAAATGCCTCTCATTGATTTTGTGTATAATTTGATATTTGTTAAAACGGAGATAATTTCTTATGGATTTTGCAAGTGTAAATGTGTATACAAATATGTATGATATTCAGACATAACGATAATATATGGTGGCCGCATGGTCAAGGCGTCTGACTTGGTCGTGGGTTCAATGCTCACATGTATACTGGCCGCAGGTCGGTGGTTCTTCTCCTGGAATTTCGGCTTTCCTCTATCACCCAAACCTGGCACGTCCTTAAATGACTCTGGCTCTTTATAGGATTAGAAATAACTATAAACCAATAAACGTAAACATATCCTTAAGTGAGTGTGATCTTTATTGCAGGACAGCAGCTGAGATAGTAAGGATGGATATCATTGGCCGTATATTAGCAGTCATTTCAACTCTGAGTGTAATAATTATTGGTTTTTTGCTGGAAAACAAGTTAAAACAGATGCATAATGATCACGTGTCAATGTACACACATATGCTAAGTTCCAAGTCCGAGAACATGGCGAGTTTACGCCGTATTGAAACAGCTATCACCATCATTCTCACTAAAAAGAACTATTCGGCGTCTTTTGATTTGACAAATATTACAGAGGATCTAGTCGACAGAATATCTAGAATTCTGGAAAACAATACCGCATTGGACAGAAATCTTAGTAATACAAGTAACGACAGCATTCCAAAGATTGATGACTACCCGAATGATCAAGGTAGGTCTAGTACTACGTACATGTATATACGTTAACATTCATACAGGTTAACGATAATTTTTATTGATTTTGTGGCACAACAAGGGAGATAAACTGGAGTGCTTTGTGTTGAAATGTAATCGGTTGCGCTGGAGGATCATAATGTTTTCAGTGATGCTGTTCTGTTAATTGTAGTATTGGAATCACCATTTTACACACTGTTTCATTTGGATTGTATTAAATGGTCATCTTGCGGTTCTGGACAAAATCTGTAAGCATTATGTAAATTTTGTTTGTGGACAGAGGACACATTGCCTTTCACTAGAGGTGACACTTGGCGCTTGCAGACATAAACAGTTTGCTGGTTGGTTACCATCAGATAAGAAATGAAGATAACAGATTTCGTCCTGAATAGTCTGAACGGTTTTAACTATCTATTACAATTTCATTTTTGTCGTGGTCAATAAACTTGAACTTCATCGGGTATGTGACACAAAATTTTAGCGATCGTGTTTTGATATCTACGACACTTCATGTGAGGGTGCACAAACAAAATATTCTTGGTCCTTGGCTGTGCAGTCATTTCATGATTATGTTTAGTTAGATTTGACATGAAATTACCATGTACCACAAACATTTTTGTTGGGATCTTGTGAGCCATTTCTGTGACTTAGAACGAAGCTTACATATATACTTTCTTTTTCTTTCTTTTGTTTTATATTGCTTAACGTTCTATCAACAACTTTAGTCATTTAAGTGTAACCTCTTTACCTATACGAGACAAATGTTGAGTGTAGGTATATAAATGTAAGCGCTAATTCCTTACTAAAACGTTGTTGTTTGTTGATATTTTATCAATACCTATATTACAGATCCTAACAGCACGGAGACTTGCGAAGAACTTGTTTGGAAAACAATAGCATGGGTAGGCAGGTTTACTGTGTGGATTTATCGTGCCTTCTTGGCACTTATGTTAGGAGCTCTCACAATAGATGGCTTGCCAAGACACTTTCAAAACAGGAACGGAATACGCTTTTGTCAAGTGATGGTGTGTATATTTGTGTCCAGTGTTGGATATTTCCCGAGTATACTGATGGACATTTGTTATTCATACTGCACAGCTTGGTACACTCTCTTGTGTAAAGAGATTTTACGAATTCTATGGGTCATGTCTGTCTGTTTTGTCAGCCATGCTGCTGCCGAAAAAAATGGTACATTTAAAACGAGTTATGTGATTTGGTCATTTATAGTGACAATTCTTATGTACAATGGATTTCATCCAGAAAGAATGTTTCAATAAAGGAGTCTCGTTCACATCTAGTGTGATATGTCATGTTTATCTCTCGAATTCACGATATACCGCAAGTAATCTCTCAGAAACTCCACGTGGTCAGGTATGTGGTTCATAATATTTTTACTCTCGGCTTAGGAATCAAACCTCATTTGCGTCGGTGAAAGGCAAGTGCATGATCACAGCGCCACCTGACCACAAATAGCAGCGTAACAACTACACCAACATGGTATTCCTGATCGGAAACTGACAATTGAAGCTGTATTTATGAACAATACCCAAAAAGTAGTCACAAGGAAAAAACGTTCATGAGAACTTGATATCATGTATACCAAAGCTACTTTGTCATCAGTCATAATAGCTGATACAAATACGAATGTTAAACCACACAAAAGAGGCTATTGGATAAAGTGCTTTCTTCAATGACACAGAAACAAAAAACAATCGGTACTTGATACAACATGCTTAAACACAAAATCCGATGGTAGTGGTAATGGATTTACGAAAATCCGCTAAAGTCATCTCAACAGCACTGTTCTCTTGATGATATTTCAATCTCCTCATTAAAAGACTGTGTTCCATGATCCAGTCCTTCGCAAGAAATATCGAGAACAATATCTTTTTGTAAAGATGGCTGGCTGGCTGGCTGACAGTCATATCAGTATTTATATCAGTATTAAAATACAACGATGCACAACCAAGGACCAAAATAAAACCTACATGTGTAATTTAATAATGATCCATTCGGTACTTCTCGGGAAATTGCGATAGCGAACTATAACTGTCAAAATCAAAGATGACCGCCTTAAACTTAGTGATAACAAGAATTGCTTAAGAACACACTGGTGACGAACGCCGAACCAAGGAAAATGGCCTATTTGAATACCCCACTATCTGATGATAATTGGCCAAAAAGGAATACTGCTACATGTAGTACTATTTGTTGGTGGCCAGCGAGCTGTTGTACGCATGATCCAGCAAGCAGGAAATATATAATTCGCAGTCATAAACTGTGTGTATGTGACAAAATAGATGTAAAATTAAGATAATTAATTATTTTAAGATAATTAATTGGTAGTAATTAGTGTATGTTAATGATGTATCTTTGTGGTGGTGGGATTATATAGATTATATTTTATTAACATATCGGAACATGCTTTAGATAAGTTAGAAGTTCAATGTACTGTTACAGTTGAGCAGAGAGATGGATAATTATATCAAATTTAGATTCTTTAGTATTGATTACTGGCAGGTTAATAAGGTGAAATTTGAATTTATTAATTATATTCTCGAGTTTGAGCGGAGTGTTTATAGTCATTCATGGAGAGTGATGGTCAATAATTGCATCATGGCAGACTTTTCTACATCAGCCACTTACTCATCTTTTCCTACAATGAAACAGACATGGACAACTATCCACCAAACTGTGTGATACGTATGATGATGTCAATTTCCCTTTTATGAACTTTCTAATTCTGGATAGCAACATCCCAAAGCTATGTTGTTTACATGTCACAGTTGATTCGATTTTCAAGAGCCTGTTCCCACTATCACCATTTTCGTGCGAGCGATCGTCAACTTACGGACAAACTCGTAACACAGGGTTTCAAAATAAGCAGGTTGATGAAAATTATGGGGAAGTTTTCCTTCATAATCATTGAGAAATATTTTGGCTCTTTTTGCGATATCAAGTAGGACGTGTTTGATACTCGTTAGATTTCCTGTTTGTTCCGTTGTTGTTTACCTTGTTCTCATTTGACAACGTGACATTACTTGCTTGGATTGACCAAGATGTACATGCAGGTGTTGTAGATGAAGCAGAAGACGCTTACTCTTCTGGAACACATAGTCTTATCTTCTTGTACCTTTTCAGGCGTGTAAAGTTTTTTTTGTTCTTATCATTGCCTTAGTTTTATTGAACTTGAGTTTGGGTTATGAGTATGTTGACATGCTAGTATTTTCTTGTTGCTTCTTGAAATAGGGATTGGTGTGCAGTGAACTCAGGTGATGTGTGTTACCCACATTGTATCATTGTGAGAGATGTGAAGAAGTGTGAAGTAATGAAGCGGTAATAGATGTGCAATGGACTGAGGCAACAAATTATTTGTTATCCATACTTTTTCATCGTAAAGGGTATAAATACAGATCAATCAAGCAATGAACCTTTACCAGATGGTAGTTGATAGGAACAGTATTTGGATGACAGGTTAATAATTATGTCACATTAATTGTATTGTATTCCTATCGCATGAACACTGGTAACGACGAATTGCTTACGTGCATATGTAATTTTCGTAATCTGAAACTAAAATTACGAGTACATTTCCCACCTTACTAAATATTGTCTTTAGTACATTAAAATCCGGAAACAGTCGAAATAGCATTGTTCCTACTGTAATCATAAACGATAGTTGTATGAATAAATATGATGGCAAATTTAACCTTTTCTTTTTTCTTTTTTTCTTTTTTTTTTATTATAATTTTTTTTTCATTTTATAAACGCCATTTATTGCGAGTTGGTATATATTTAAGAAGTGACATTGTTCTTCATTAGCCTGCATGGAGGGATGTATCACGTATAATGAATTTGTGGCATTTACGACTAGAATAACTATGGAAATAACATAACTAGAAGAGTCGTTCCTGGCAATATATCCACTTCGGATATGTCAATATAGCGCTACCGAAAGTCACCGGCGGCCAATGTTGTTACCTAGTAGACATCTAACCATATTGTAATATACAGCCTCAAATAGTATACAATACTTATTACATATAGGCATTTACAACATAGAATAGAATTATGAAAAAAGTAAATATGGTATAAGTTATTTATTAAACAGATACTCGACTTCAGAGTTGAAAGGAACTGCATCCGCTTGTACCTATAACATGTATTAATATCATAAGGGAGACAATTCTGTTTTCTTATGTCAAATGTATAGAAATAAAACGAAAGTTGTTTAAAGTTTATTTTTTAACCTTTTTTCCTTTAAGGAAGATATTTATGTGTACAAAGATTGATATAACAACAGTTCTACATCGCTCCCGATCGATATGCACGTTTTATGCTTGGCCTTCTGCTTAAGGAAGAAATGGGACTGTCTTTGTGCACTGTTTTGTAATGTGTTTAAGAGATGTGATAAGCTTTATTGTCAAACATTTCGGTTACGTTAAGAACATATGAATTTAGAATGAAAATAAAAACCGAAAATTGCGGAAAACGTCTTTATATCCAATCTATTTAGACATTTAAACATCCAATAAGGAAGAATTAAGCATTGTCAGCGCTTTGAAATGTCCATGGCTAATTTGGTCGTCAGTACATATCAGGTAAAGACATCATGTCGACAAAACATCAGGGAGTGAAATAGACGTGCAGAGTCTCCATCTGTATTGATACGGATAAATAACCCTCCAATAAAATAATACAACAAAGTCAGTATAGAGAGACGATACATATTTCTTTCATATGTTGTTTTTTTTCCCTCATATTTTTTAGACATGCATTCAAACACTCTCACGATTTATTCAAAAGTTGGTCATTTAAGCCATTTAACAAGACCAGCCGCTCATAATAGATTTCGATCATATATTTTTTATCGATTTCACCTATACAGGCGTTTTCACTATATTCACAGTCATTTCTGTAATTCATTATACTGATTTTCATTCTCTTTATTATATTACCTGGTTTAAATATTGTCAACAGGTTCGTTTCGTACTTAGATGTTCTTTATCTTAAGTCCATGATAAAAATTCTGCTGTTAGTACTCACTTTTGTCTTTTTTTGTCAAGTTTACAATAAGTGAAATGTTTAGTTATTTAATTGTACATTTACTATGAATTCATTTATGCTGGATTCATTATTGTAATACATATTAACTGTTTATTCGTTTGGAAAGGAGGATGATAAGTTATAAGTTGTGTCTGATCCTATTCCTTCTGTTAACAATAAAATACATTTGTAACAAATATTTTTGGTGTGGTTAAGAATACATACATATACGTTTCACCATTGAATACTGTATCCCATTAGGGCCCTTGTAGTTATCACAAGTATCTACTAGAAATGTTTTTTGATCTCACACTTCGCTTATAATTCATACTTGCATTGCGTAACATGATACATACTGGATTGTTTACATACACAACATTACTTGGTGACTGGTACATTATACAGTGTCTGTCTACACGGGATCAGGATTTTATTAAGCTGGTCCCGTATACCACGTATACCAGAAAAGTAATACGAGAACAACATACACATAATTATTCAAGTTTTTAAGTGACAGAAGGGGCTTCCTCTCTCCCGGTAAGGTATGTCGTACATGTCAAACAAAACACGAGACATAAACTATTCTATTTTTAAGAAGTGATTACAATGTATAAAAAACTAAATTATTGTGAATGTACAGACCTCATTGTGATGTATGTAACAGAAATAAGGCCAAAACCTTACTTATACAAACTTGACGATAGCTGTCGTCCTTTCAGAATTGACACAATTTTGAAATATCGCAGTAGCAAGTTTTCTCGTGTATATTTTAGATTATGCAAGAGTAAATAGCATAGAGCTTTATAGATGCACATTACTATTAAGTGAAAACAATTTACATATTACAATTTTATATAATACAGATGATCAGGACTTTGTACATATACTTCTAATATATCAACAAAAAATACATCTATGTATCAGACATCAGCTGGCACAGACGGAAATAATTGTGTAGAAGCAAGCCTGAAGCACATATGCCCTAATCCAATATTAAACAAATACTGATTTAAACAACACTAGCTCTGTATCGTTTTCGGAACAATACCCCATACATTTTTCTGATCTCTCGACGAAACCGCGTATCACAAAATCCATAAATAATTGGGTTGGCCATGTTGTTTATGAAAAATGACCAGACAAATGTGTGGTACAGAAACACTTCCACAAATGTCAGACTGTCAAGAAATTTCTTGTTTAAGAACACAGTTATTTTGAGTGCTAGATGAGGTGCAAAACTTAATATGAAAACCACAGTAATTATAAATAGCATTAATGTAGTTTTCCTTGTTTTCTTTGCGTTAGCATTTTCCTTTGACTTTTTGCTGGGTTTTTCAGCTGTCTCATTTTGTTGTTTTTGCTGTTTTACATTCGTCTGTAGTGTTTCTTGTTTGGACAGTTCGTTATTACTCGATGTATTTGAACTAATTACAGCACCAGTAGACAAAGTGTCAATAGAGTTATCTGTACTGGGACCCGAATTAGAGCTTGATGTTGCCTCAACCGCAGGAACCGTACTCATAACTGTCGGATTCAGCATCTTTGTCCTCGTTTTCGCCTGCTTCCATATCCGTTGTCCAATTAAAGAATAAAGGACAATCAGAGCTACAAATGATCCAAAAACAACTAGAATCAAGACAGCGTTAAAATAAAGTTGATACTTTGTTTTCTTGAACTTGTCCTCTGTAAAGCAAGCAACTCCAGTTATTCCATCAACGTCCGTATTAACTGTGCTTCTTCCGTACAATACAGGAGCAGGCCATGCTATTATCAGTGATATGGAGAGAGCGATACAGCATGCGATTTTAGCCTTACGTTCAGTCATTTGCTTCCCAAGAGGGTGGCATATTTTCTTATACCTATCCACTGCTATTACAACCAATGTAAACGCAGATCCACCGGAATTGAAATAATTCAAAAACCGGAGCAGTTTACACACGATAGCTGATTCGAATGTTAAGGTATTATGGAGGTCAACAATCACAAAAGGCATGCCTACTGAGCACGTGATCATATCAAGAACTGCAAGACACAATATGTAAACACGATGATTCGAATTTGGGAATTTAAAAGCAAACAGGTAAAGAACGTGTGCATTTCCTATCACCCCTACGATCATCAACAGTGTCACGAACACAATGCCTCCTACTTTCTGTTTGACATATATATCATTGAGTTCCTCAATAGTGTACATATGACCATCTGTGTTGTTCACTGTACTTTCAACCATATGTGTAGATACGTTAACTCCGTCTGCCATTGTTCACGCGTTCGTATTTAGTTATGGTGATACAGGTGTGTTTTCTTATACACAGGTTGATAATTTTCTGGAAAAAAAAATATTAAAAATTCATTTAAAAAACTATAAATGAGACTGAAAATAGATAAAAAGAATGCTGACGAAAAATATTACTGAAAGAGGCAATCACCAATAAAACGTTTGTCAAACCTGATGTTAAATTGTTGAATGTATAAATATTAGGATACTGTAGATTACTGTATGAATTATCAAAGGTGTTTGTAAGAAATGCTTGTTGGCTGTGGGGAAGGTACGATCCTAAATCTTTTTCTTTTTAAATATAATGACCAAGATACATTTTCAGAATGTCATTTTGATTGACGTTGTAATTGAAAGGTCTACAACAACATATTTTGTTTACCGCATGTCACGTAACACAGGTAAACAAAACCCACGTCAAAAGTACCAGCAACTAACTGTAGAACGTATTCGCCGTTAGGATGATATGTCGACCAGGATACGATTGTCTTACACCGTGACATAAAAAAATTGTAAAATGTGTTAAGATGAATGGTGTATTTTGTCATATGATTTAGAATAAATACACAAAATATTGGTCTGGCGACGCAGCGACGAGAGATAAATGTTCTATCTTTTAATTCACACTTACGTTTATATTAGACCTTAAACGCTGAGTTTTTTGTTAATAATGTTACCTGTCACTAAAGAATCTGACCTATATCACGATACCATCATAATGTGTAGATGCGACTGTTTAACAATTTATATATATGATAAAAAATATTCATAAAGATTATTGTATTACCATATGTTATATATGTAAGATTATGAGAAAATTAAATATTGTAAACATATGTTTATATATCTTACCTCTGGAATATTAAACAGATTCTGTGTCTTACTTCTGGGACATTAAACAGCTGCTGTGATGTCTATACAATAACTGGATATATACTTTAGTGGTCCCGTTTTATACCTATCACATATACGATAACCACTAAATCACGATAAGTGGTCTGTCTTCCTCGTTGTGGTTTACATATTTCACAAAACTGGGAAAGTACGTTATAAAACTTCCTGTATCATGAAACTGGTTTTTGTTTGATTTCTACGTAGTATTATTACATAATGTTAGGAGTGACAATGGGAAAGCCTAGAATCAGAACCTAATTCCCAAAACAAGAACCTCAACCGACAGCATACAAAAACAACCACAGTAACCAGCGGGATGCCAAAACAACAACAGTTACCAGCAGGATACCAAAACAACTTTAGTAACCAGCAGGATAGCAAAACAACAACAGTAACCAGTAGTATACCAAACAACTATAGTAACCAGTAGGGTACCAAACAACTATAGTAACCAGTAGGATACCAAAGCAACAACAGTAACCAGTAGGATACCTAAACAACAACAGTAACCAGTTGTATACCAAACTATAGTAACCAGTAGGATACCAAAACAACTATAGTAACCAGTTGGATACCAAAACAACAACAGTAACCAGTAGTATACCAAACAACTATAGTAACCAGTAGGATACCAAAACAACTATAGTAACCAGTTGGATACCAAAACAACAACAGTAACCAGTAGGATACCTAAACAACAACCGTAACCAGCAGGATACCAAAACAACTACAGTTACCAACAGGTTACCGAAATAACAACGGCAACCGACAGGACAGTTACTAGCAGAATATCAAAACAACAAAAGTAACCAGCAGGATACCAAAACAACAACCGCGACCGTCATCGTCTCATTTATTGAACTGCATGCATGCTTACCTAATATAAATCATCAAGTAAAGGAACAATTCTTATCTACTGATCTGCAGTTTTGTAATGGATCCTGAACGGCGTACGCTGATGATGTTCTGTGACGTCGCGTAATTTCTGCCTTTGATCTGTCCACCAAATACCTTGAGCATTCTGTGTTCTGGTTTTTATACAGAAATATTATAAAAAAGTAATTAATCAATTTATTGAGCTCAGATGACAAATATCATGGCCGACGATGTTGCTGGTTAGCTGTTCTCAAAAAATCATAATATTGATCGAAACAAAGAGCCATAATGGTTCTTTCCTTAAATGCCCAAGGACTTAGGGATAAAGGAAAGAGACTTCGTCTATATCAATGGATGAAGCAACAAAAGTTCGACGTTTGTCTGTTACAGACACATTTAACACAAAATATACTAAATCGACTAAAAAAGGTAACAGGTGATTTTGCTATATGCTACCATAGTTTTGAGGAACAAAATAAAAAAGGTACAAGTATTATTGTAAGAAAGCATTTGAACGCAAATATCATAAATTCTTTTTTCAAAGATAACGGTAGATTTGTCTTATAAGATATTTAAATAGAAAACAAAATTCTAAGTATTGCTAATATTTACGCTCCGAATAATCAAAATGAGAGGAACGCGTTGAATGATATAAAAGAACAAAGCACTGGAATGGTTATTGTTGGAGGCGATTTTAATGAAGTTTTAAAAGATTATGATAGAAAAAGTACCTCCGAAGCTAGAAATAAAAATAATACTTACGGCCTTAAACAGCTTAAAAATCTTTAAGACTAGAAGACATTTGGAGGGAGAAGAATAGACATAAAACACAGTATACGTGGAGACGTAATAGACAAGGAGAAGCTAGTAGAGTAGACTACTTTCTAATTGAAAATACCATGAACAATTTAGTAAAATCATCGGACATTAGAACGGCACAAATTACTGATAAAAAACGAATCAATCAAATATAGCATATTAAAATCAGAAAAACAAAAATCAGACATATGCTTACTCGAAGAACGTCTGAGAACAATAAATTAGAAGAAAAATATTACCGTCACTGAGGCGGACGAAGCAAATAGTGTTGAAAAAGACTTAGAAAAATTGTACAAACAAAAAGCAAAAGGCGCACAAATTAGATCACAAATCAAATGGACAGAAGGAGAAAAAAACACGAATTTTTTTTGAAAAGAAAAGACAAACAACAAAAGTAATAAATGAACTTGAAAATGAAAACGGAACTTTAATCCAACATCACGAAAAAATATTGAAAGAAATAAAAACATTTTATGAAAATCTATACACGACCATTAATCCGACTGAGATAAATATAAATGAGTACATTAAAGATTCTAAAGGAATTACACAGCTTAATAATACCGAATCTAAATCTTGTGGTGGTAAACTAACAGAAAAGGAATGAAAACATGCTCTAAATCATATGGAAAAAAAAAATAAAAGTCCCGGTACAGACGGATTAACCATAGAATTTTATCAGGCGTTTTGGAAACACATAAAGAATTGAGTACTTAATTCATTATACGAAGCTTAAGACCATGGTGAACTTAGCAAATCTCAAAAATATGGACTAGCTTCTCTGATTTATAAAAAAGGCATACTCTTTAGCAACAAGATTAAAATCAGTTATGCCGAAAATCATTCACACGGCTCAAAACGGATATAATATTAGACAAATTCAAGACATAATTGATAAATATGAAATTGACAGTTGATTACTATTTTTAGACTTTAAAAAAGCTTTTGATACCATGGAATGGAAATTTATGTACTCAAGTCTTCAAAAAATTCGTTTCGGAGTTTTCGTTTATAGATTGGATAAAAACTTTTTATAATAATATTAAAGGATTTGTTAAAAAATAATAATTGGATTACAGAAGAATATTCAATATCCCGTGGAATTAGGCAGGGCTGTCCGTTGTCATGTTTGATTTTTGTAATAGCAGTAGAGATATTAGCAGCAAGAATAAGAAACGAAAAGGATATTGACGGTTTTAAGATAAACGGAAAAAGTTCGAAAATTGCACAATTGACTGATGATACAACTCTGTTCTTGAAACGAAAAGATATAAAACATGCAATTAACGTTGTCGAAAAGTTTGGGGAATTATCTGGGTTACAATTAAACAAAAATAAGACAGAGAGAATGTGGTTAGGGTACAATAAGGGAAGGAACAACACTTCAGAAGGAATCACATTCAAAAAGGAAATCAAACATTAGGAATATTCTTTGGAACTAATAAAAAAGTATGTAAGGATTTAAACAAAAACGATTCAATTGATGAAATGTTGAAGAACTGGAAGAAAAGGAAATTAACTTTAACTGGCAAAACAGTTGTTATACAAACGCTATTAATACAAAAAATAATTTATATAGCAAATATGCAAGCAGTAGATAAAGAAAAGGTACAAGAATGAGAAAAAAGTATCTTTGATTTCTACTGGGACGGAAAAAGAGATAAAGTTAAAAGGAAAACAGTAATCGGAAAATACGAACAGGGAGGGCTTTAGTTACGACACTTAGAGTCACATCGACATTATTAGAATGGAATGGGTGAAAAGACTAACAGACGGATCTAAGGCAAATCGGAAACTGATTCCTAAAAAAATCTTCAGTAATCATGGATCCAACTGGTTAATTTTCAAAATGAATATGAAAAATATTGAAAACATACTGAATTTGAAAACTAGTGTGACTGACTTTTTATCAACAAGTATTGAAAGCTTTGCTGGAGGATTGAAAAAAGATCCTTAAATTTGTGAAAACATAAGAAACGAAATGCTATGGGGTAACAGACACATACAATTTAAAGGGAAAGCGCTGATCAATAAGGATTGTGTTGAAAGTGGTATAAGCAGAATAGCAGATGTGACAAATGATCAAGGTCTCATAGATGAAAATCTTATCTATAACAAACTAAAAGAAAATGAAATTGGATAAGTGAAATAACAAAATTAAAAAAGCTATACCAAACCAATGGAAACTATCGTTGAAATAGGAAGACTCAATAAAAACCTTTGTAAAAATATCAGACACATTATTCCTGCATGATAAAAAATCAGATAGATACATAACACTAGAAAAGCATAATAATAAAAGTCTTCACAAAAAGGTTTTACAAAATAAATTGTACCCTCATACATTTTTGATTATTGGCGAAACCAATTTGACATTAAAGGATCGAAATTTTTTGAGAATTTCTTTAAATTTATATCCTACAAAAGGCATCAAGTTTTCAAATGGAAGTTATTTCATTGTATGATCCCCAGTAAATATCAACTACACAAATGGAAAATGGAAGAAAATAATCATTGCAATGTTTGTGGTGTTTTAGAAAATTAAAGTCACTATTTCATCGAATGTAAGTATTTTGAAACGTTTTAGAAGAAGCTTGCAGATTTTTTTGATTATTTCGGATTCAGGGTTAAACTTAAAAGACTACAACACATTATGTTCGGTTAGAAAATTGGACAAGTTATGTATAGTGAAATAAATACCATCTTACTTTTGATAGGTTTTACAATATACAAAGTGTTTCACCTATGCGATCAGAAAAGAAAATTTGTTTACCCATGTCTAGTGTTGAAATATGAACTGAAAAGAGTGACTGAAAAAAGAAAATGATTTATTATTTTATTGAGAATCGATGTAAAACGCGGTGTCTGGTCGGTGGTATTGGCGCAAGTGGTTAGAGTTGAACAACCAACATGGAAGCAGATCTGTCAATATAATTGATCAGACTACCGGAACCTGTTTAATACAAACTAGAAATGCTAAAACCAAATGGAGTTCTCAATGATTTTTTTTTAATTGCCGTTTTTGTTTATTTTTTTGTTTCTAAATAACAACAAAAAAAAAAAAAAAAAACAAAACAAAACAAAACAAAAAAACATGCACTACGATGAAATACAAGTAAGATAAGCTAATATGGAAAATGTGGCATAGAACATCAGAAAATACAATACAATGTATATAACAAAAATCATGAACAATAACAATAGATAATCTCAGCTAACATTAAAGCCATTGCATGAAGTGTGCTTCTACGATGTGAATGTTCGTCTTTTGAATGAAAGAGTGTGTTTGTCAAACTATTGAATTTGAAG